TGCAACCTGACATTTGGAACTAGCAAAAAAATTGATTTAGAGAGAAACTCTCAGAAGTAATCAAATCAATGAGAAAAACAAACAAACCAACAAAAAACCTAAAAATCACAACATAAAAATAGCAAAACAGAGGAAACCACCACAGCAATGATAATGTAATCTGAAAATTGACCTAACAGCATCAAGCAAACACACAAATAAATAAAAACAAAGCAAATGTAAAACATGACAGAAAAATGGAAAAATAGAACAAATCCCATGGTGACAACATTGCAAGCTGACCTTTGGATTAAATAGAAAAATCGATTTATAGACAAACTCACAAAAGAAACCTCACCAATATATACAAACAAAAAATAAGTAAATAACACAATAATAAAATGGCAAAATAAGAGAAACCACCATAGTAATGATAACACGGCTGGAACTTTGGACCTAACAAAAAAATTCCTCTAGAGAAAAACTCTCAAAAACAACACCACCAATAAGAAATATGAAATCACCAAAAATGACAAAGAAATTAACAAAAGCAACAATAATACAAACCATACCTTGGATGTTACCAAAAAATCAATTTAAAGAAAAGAATCAGAAAAACATAGAACAATTGTTCTGTAGGATTCCTTCCAAGATTTGCGATAATACCCTTCTGAAGAGTTATCTTTCCAAGTAACTGGTCCTTTTATGAACACAAAGGAGTGATTCTGGTCATTGAGCATAGAAGAGGGTAACTGACATCATTGTTCATTTAAAGTCCCTGCCTTCCAAACAGTTCAGTGGCCATATTGGCTCCTAGTGCAAAAATTACATGTGAGGAGAAGGGGTGGGAGACTACATTGTGCCAGGGGGGTACAAGGAGGTATGAGTAAGGGGACAAAATATTACCAAGCTCAAGTACAAGGGTCAGGGAAAGGATTCAAATTAGAACCAGAAAAAAAATGGAGTCACCTATAGGGTCAGGTCAAGAAGTGCCCCAAATGGGAAGCTTTCATTGCCTGCTCATGCTGGGAAGAGCGTGCACCCATCTTCTGGCTCCTGGATATTTTGGCCCTTTGTTATTAGGTCTTGAGCCTTGGCCTCTGACCTATCTGACCTTTGGCTGCTGATCATGAGGTGCCCTTCCGACTCTCACTTTTTACTTTCCATTGCTTAGTGATAAATCAAAGCATGTTCTTTTGTCTTCAGTGAATATGTGGCTCCAAATAGGAGACAACAAATTACACCCTCCTAAGTGCTTTCATTTTCCCCAGTGGTTAATCCGGAGACAATGAACTTCCTGTGCATCTCCTATAGTTCAGCCCAGTCACTATAGCCAAAACATCAGCCCTCTCATATCTGACATGTGCCCAGTGACATGTCAGCCCTTCAACTACCAGCTGAAGTGAGGTGTTCACTGACACATTGTGGGGATTGGATCAAATCCGGATGTGACCTTTACTGTGGGCTTTCTAGGACTGTTGCAGGCATGATATGTGGGTCACATTTCCCAGTAGACGACCATAAAAACACAGGCTGAAGCGATGTCCTGAGGGAGGACAAATCAAAACCTAGGCAGGGCAGCTCAGGGAACCTAGCAGTGATCAAGTTTGACTGGAAACCATCTTCCATCTGATGCAAGAAAAGCTCTTGGGCACACACCACTGTTCTAGGGCTTCACCTTGGTCACCCTTAGATCTCTGTGCTGGTGAGTTTTTGGCTGCTGCCTATACTCAGGAAAGGAGTGCGAGCAACCACTCGGGCCAAGTCACTACTCTTTAGCTGATGGCAAATCTCTGCAGATGAAGAAATCTAGCAGGTGGGAATGAGCAGCTTGGAAATGGGATCTGAGCAGTGTAACAAGAGGTTCAAAATCCCTCTAGAGAACCACAGCAGAGTCTCTGGGACTTGGGGAATTAGAAGTGGCCAGTGAGGAAAAGTCATGATGGGGTGTTGGGGAGATGGGGATGAAAAGGGCTCCAAAGCATAGTCTGCTAGACAATGAGTGCATTAGGGAAGGGAAGAATTTCAGACCCACTTCAGAAGGAGGTGGCTTCAGGAAGGGGCCCTGAAGGCACACTTGGAGCCTAGGAGTCCAAAAACTGGGGGGCTTTTACCTTAATCCAGGGTGACAGAGGCACAGACAATTGTTTGGATATGTGTATGTCCATGCATGTGTCGGTCTAGGGAGTGAGGTTGATTGAAGCCTAGACATGAAAGTCATGGGTCTCAGGAGACTTAGAGTTAGATCAGGGAGTACCAGATGAAGGAGCCAACACAGGTCACAGCACAAAAGACAAAGATGATAGAAAAGTTAAAATTCCCAGTGGGCAAGAATCATTAGAAAGAGGAAGAAGACGTAGGCATGCTGATACTGCCCAGATAGAAGTGAAGCTGAAGGACTGAAGCCTGTAAAGAGAGCAAGAAAGTTTGAGCAGAGGAGGGTGTCTAAATTCCATACTTGGTGCAGTGTGAGAGTGCAGGGTGGACATGCCCTGGCATAGCAGATTCCAGAGGGAGAGCCAGTGTTTACCAGAGTTCGGTATCCAACTGGGAGAGTTTAGGGCAGCTAGCTCTTTAATAGAGATCTGGGAGAGCAGTTGGATCACTTTTTGGCTGGGTGAGGGGCGCTGTGGAAATGTCAAGTCTTTACCTCTGTTCTATAAGACAGCTTCCCATTGAGCTTGCCATTTAGCAAGACTCAAGGAGATGTGGTTGCTAGACAAATGACCTAGTCCCCAGCAGAGGCTGAATGGGAATGCAGACTTTAGAAAGGAGAGGGAATCATGGGCCTATAATGCCTAATATGTCAGAGACAGTGTGCAGCCTTAAGGATGGTGAACACGAAGCGGAGATGATGGGCATCTACTAAAGAGCGTAGACATCAGAGAGTCAGGAAAAAAACAGTCAAGGAGAAAGAAAGGCAAGTGGAGAAAAGAGTCCCTTTGCCCCAATCCCCCACAGTTCCGTGGGGTGCCTGCAGCCCTGATGAATCCCAGAGGTTGCAGGTTAAGGGAATAAGGGCTTGGAAGAACTTGGAGAATGCAGAGCACCGAACAACCAAGAAATGTAGGATAAGGAATGACAGCATGAATTTTTCAGACTCAGAAAAGTGAAGGACATGGGTGTTGTGGAGGGGGTTGGAGAGGCCGGAAGCTGTGGGTTGTGCAGGGCCTCTGTAAGGTTGCTTCACATGTCAGGGCTTACTCTGAGGCTGCAGAGTTTCCCCTTTTTTCTGTCCCAATTAAAATTGGCCCTTCAAGTCTTTCTTCTCTGTGGACCTGTTCTGGCCCTAGTTCTTTTCCTGCCTCAGTATTCACAGAGGACATTTATAGTCTATTCCTGGTTAGATTCCTCTCCAGTTCAGAAATGTTTCGTCAAGTCACCCACAGGTTAAACTTCTTCCCAATGGAGCTTCCGCCATTGAGGCAATAGGTTCTCACACACCCCAGGAACCCACTCCAGACTTTTACCCCTGAGACATTCCCCTTTCCTGTACTCATGCAGCCTCTTAGCTCTCAGCACCCCAGACCCCATGGAGATGCCCTCCCCTTCTCAGGGCTTTTCTCCAGATTGAGAGCTCTCCTCTTCTCCCAGTGCAGCCTAGAGCCTCACCACAACATGAACAGTAAGTCACCCCAGAAACAGCCATGCAACCACGCTCAAGATAATAAGATTTTATTTTTGCCTTTTCAAGACCCTTGTCTCTGTGGGCAAACCTATCTGGTGAGAAGAAAGCCATGAGGAAAATTGCTCTGCAGTGGGTGTGAACACCACAGGGCCATGGTCAGTTTGGCAAGCCAAGCAATCCTATGTTTGTTTAATCCAAGATGTTTTTCATAAGATACACAATGTATAATTCATAATTCAGCCATCATCTCTGCACTTATTTTTCTAATTCAATGTCTCCATTCACAAATAATTATTATGTGTATTTATGCATTTCATTTGGCATATTGCATCAGCATTTTACAGTAAATAGATCACATTTCTTTCAGATTTTCTGACGAGCACAGATATTTATCATAAGGTATGAAAAATAAAATGAGTAGTTTACCCATCATTTCTTCAGTTATTACATTAACAGAATTTTTCCATTTGCAAATAATCCTTGTACATATAGATGGAATCATTTGGCATATTGCATCTGAAAAGGTCCCTGGAACACACCACTATTCTCTCATGCCTCCAATAAGATTCAAGAAGCCAAGAATTGAGAAAAAAGAAGTTTATTTGTGAATTCAGAATTCAGGGAGACAAGCCAGTATAGATACCAAGGCCAGCTAAGCATCTCAGATTTTGCAGTTTGTATTTATAAGCATAAGCATTGACATTTGCTACTGATTAACATCAAACTACTAACTTACAAAACATTGTGTGATATTCCAATTATTATTGCATTTTGTCAATAACAAGCATTGTTTGCATATTCTTGGTTCCCGTTACAAGGAAACTGCAATTTTCAGTTATTAGTAACTCTAAGCAAAGAATGAGTGAAGCTTCCACAAAGTAAAGCATTATTCATGGTGATACATTATTAGTCAATGAGTACAACTATACAAAAGAGTATACCAGTTATGGTTACAAGATTAATATAATTGTATTTCTGACTTTAACTATTGATCATGAAATAAACACTCTATTTTACTAACTGTGTGAATACAACCATGGAGTCTGTGAATCATTCTGTTCCAGGGAGGGTGAGCACAGTCTTGTAATTCTAAGGAATGTGGATTGTACAGGGCAGTAACCCTAAGAAATCAAACATATAACAATCATGAATTAGTAGTAGTGGGATCTCTTCATCATTTCCTCACTGTTATCCATCATGGAGGTGTGGGAATCATTGTCTCTTCCTTTGGGTTTGAACATCTGAATGGCCTTCTCAGTCAGGCAAAACTGTGCTAGGAGAGGAAAAGGGGGATTAAGGGCAATGGGGTGGGGGCAGAAAGATACACTCTTAAGTTTAAATGTTTTCTGCATCTAGCCTGATTTAATTACAAAGAACAGAAGTTTTTTTTTCCTTTAGAAACAAGTTTATTTTCCGCCAACCTTATTTCCGTGTTGCTTAAGAGCCTGTGTTGCTTAAGAGCTTAAGACCACTCAGTGGTTGTCCCTACCCATTCAGTGACCTGAGCAGTGGGAGCTGCAGACCAGTGTTCTGTGGCAGGCTGAGCGCTCCAGTCTTCAGTAGAAAACTGCTGAATTGGCACAGAGGGCACCTGCACACCTTCAGACCAGTCTGCAACCTCAGGCTGAGTAGCAGTAAACTCAGGAGCTGGAACAGTCCATTCACCCTGAAATTCTTCTTTGGTCACAGCTTTTTCAGCAGCAGCCTGATCTTCCTTTTCAATCTCTTCAGGATCTCCGTAGAAGTAGAGATCAGGCATAACCTCCCACAGGTGTTCATGGGAGATGGTGCCACACATGCGCAGAACTTCCCAAGCCAGCATCCACCACATCAGACCCACTGAGTGAGCTCCCTTATTGTTGCACAGGATAGCAATATCCACATAGCACAGAGGAGAGTCTGTGTTACACAGAGCAATGGTGGGCAGGTTAACATAAGATGCCTCTGTGAGGGGCTGGTGGTCAGCACTGGGATCAGTAATCATGCCCAGTTAATTTTATTTCTTTGTTATAGAGACAAGTTCTTGCTAAGTTGCCCAGGCTGGTCTCGAACTCGCGGGCTCAGGCAATCCAATCGCCTTGGCCTCCCAAAGTGCTGGATTACAGGCTGAGTCACCAAGCCCGACCTATAGCCAATTATTTAAAGGCAAGAAGGAGTTAGGCCTAGATCAGTCTGAAAAACAACCCCATTCTGTAATGAATTTTTATTGCAAGCTATGATGATCTGGGCCTTTGATTTTTTTCTTTTCTGTATCTGGCATAGCATTTACAAGAAACATATAAGGATCACATAGTGACAAGTGTGAAAATGACAGTTCTTTTCTTTTCTTTTTCATTTTTTTATTTTAAAGGGTTTGGTATGCCAATGTTCATTATGCAGGTACCCTTGTTGATGAAGTGTGCCCTCCCTCCCCTGGCAGATTCCCATTACTGCCAATTCCACCCCCGCTCCCTCAGCAATTTCCCACTACTTATGACAGTTATGTTGTAATTCATGAGAGTTAGTCTGGTCCAATTTTCCTGGAGGATGTCTGTCTTAGTTGTTGCTCATGAGATTGACCAGACCCCAGATATTTTCTTGAATCCCAAGCAGGTGTCAGTGGGCCAGCTTGAAGTCCAGGTGTGGGCCGCAGTGTAGTCAGGTGCTTGCCATAGGCATGAGATGTATTTTATTCAACTCCCTCTAACTTTCCAACATAAGAGTCAGTTAAACGCACCTAGCAAGATCCTAAGTTGGTTACTGCAGGGGACCAGCTCCAGCCAGATTCAGGGTACCCCAAAGGTGGAGACGGCATCGGCGATTAGAGGGAAGAAGAGAGAAAGAGAGAGAGAGAAAGTAATAGACTGACTCCGGTCCAGTGCAGAAGTGATGTGTGTTATTGGGAATTACAATGGGTCTTTTATACACAAAGTCAGATGTGGGAGGGGCGTCCCCCACCCACCAGAAACCTTAATCCATGAAAACTTAATCAATGATTGCCTTTAAGCCCTTTTCATATGTTAATCTTAAAATCCCATAACAAAGGATAACCTAATCTGTGACTGACATATTCTATAAACCTTTTTTCATCCTAAACTGATTGATTTATGCCAAGTTAAACAATTCTAAAGAAGCTTAAGTATTTACTTTACAAACGAAAGTGGCCCATCCCAGAATGTTTGGAATGTGGCCCAGTCCAAAGTTCACAGTGGGCTGCCTGCAAGTTACCCAGTTGCATTCTTTCAACAAAATGGCTGTCTTCTAAAACTATATTCTACAATTTACACCTTCAATAAATCCAAGATCATGACCCAGAAGCCTGTGACCAATGCTAAGGCTCTTAGATGTGACACGAGTTTGAATTATAAGTTGTGTGAAAGCCAAAACTGCAGTTTGTGGAAGAATGGGAGCAATGAGCTTCTAAAGTTAGCTTGTGTTCATCCTGGTCTCAGAGTTTTTATGTTTTGAGCTCACAGGAGCTTAATCTGGTTAGTGCTGAGTAGAAACGGGGAAGAAATGGGGTCAATAGCTCCCGAACGCATCCTAGTGGTCTCGGGGTCAACGGCCCTTCCTGATCCCTAACGCTCAGTGGGCCTCCATGGCTGGCTCCCAACATTTCCCCCTTTTTAAATTTTTTTTTTTTTGTGCACAAAACCATGAAACTCCATATTGAGCTGATTCTTCTTTAGCACTCTGAAGATGATTGGGAGTAAACACAGCAACAAAAGAATCACTGCTCCACAAATACCCACATTGATGAGTATAGACATTAATGTTTTTTGGTTAGCAAATGATGCCTGAATTTCTTGATGTAATTTAGTAAGATACTCAGGTCTGAATGGTTCCAAATTCCAAGTTACTTTGTCCCAAGTATGGACAGATTTAAACTCAGAATGACATTGGAGAGCCAATTTCTTTTTTAAGGTCACAAGTTCTTGCCCTACTGATAAAACTCCTTCCTCCAAAGCACTAACCTTACTTTCCAACTTCTGGTCTATGATTTCCTGAATAGCTATGGCAATAGAAATGCTTTTATAGACAGCCGATCAGCAAACATAGTTGTATGAACTTCCCTAGATAATGCTACAGCTCAAA